CGCCGACGGGGGAGACGAGCCGCAAGGAACGGAGGGGCCGGCGTACGCGAGCTGGCCTCGCGGGCTGCAATCTGCTGCGCCGGCTCAATGCAACCGGGCAGTGGCCGAGCCGGCTCGAAGGCCTGGAAGACATTTAAAGCATCGCTGTTGGTTTCCCTCGTGCTCCCGGTCCTTTCTCTCCCATGTCAGTGGCTCTGATGTGATGGAAATTCAGCAAAAGCTTCATTAGATTTTGACAGCTCTATTGTTTCATGCAGCTTTATCAGCTCCCTGGTAATAATTTAGTTTAACGGCTGCTCTCATCCTCCGGAGAATAGCAAGGATCTGTATTCAGCTCAGTGTTTACTTTTACAAATTGAAGCAATGTAGGAGCTTATTTAAAAATGATATTTGGTGAAATATAAATGTGACTTGGTTGTTTAGGTGTGTGCTTGTACAACCGCCCCATCCTGTTATCGACGTGTATTGTGGCTATGATGCTGTAATGTAAATGCCCATCCTGCAAACTGAAGGCTTTCTTGAATAAAACATTGCTTTATATCACACCTGATGATAAAGCTCGAGCCTACTGCAAAAGCTTATTGATATTTATGGGGCAGACATTAGCAAAATAAGGACAATTCATTGCCATGGCTTTGACCATGTGAGACGTGGTGTTTCTGATCTCGGATGTTAAATCGGGGAAATCATTGCCACAGCATGCTGTGGAGGCCAAAGGGCAAGTGGGGATCCAAAATAAGGGCTTAGATAAGCTCAGAGAAGGAAGGTCTGTGCTTGACTATTTGGCTCAGGGCTCTGATGGCAGCCCTGAGCCCCACCGGAGCTGGCACGTGGGGGTCTTTCCTGTGAGCACCCTTGTAAAGGCACCTCTGAGACCTGGCTCTGTTCAACCATCCCTCTCCAAACACATGTCCTCTCTGGGGTGAACACAGAGTCTACTTTTGCACTGATTGCTTCCCTTGAGTTTTCACAATTCTCTAGAGTTTCCCTCACCTGAAAAGGAAGAAAAGAGAATTCATACCGTCAGAAAATGGTTGGTTTTTCTGATCATCGCCTGTTTTTCTCCTCCAAAATGTTACACAGGTAGATTTTGGGGTGTCCAGTATCTCCCGAGGAATTTGTGACATGGTGGCCCTTGCTGCATGGTAGCTCTGATCACACACCCGCTGAGCACCCGGGTGCAGCCCAGCAGCAAGGGACCCTTGGACAAACTGCGTATATGTTGCTGCCTGCATCCCTGCCCCTGCCTGGGGAGCCCTGTTTCCAGCAACACCTGAGGCCTGTTGCTGCAGCTGTTATCACAGGCACCAACATGCATGAGGTGCATGTGTCTGGGAAGTCCCCTGTCATCTCCCTGCCCTCTGCTTGTGCCAGGTCTTATCCCACTGGTGGCCAAGGCAAAGGTGTTTCCCTTTCCAGCTGCCTTAGCTGCCTGTGCGCGCTGGGCTGTGCATGGTGCTTGAGGAGCTGTGTGCTGGGATCACCCAAAAAGGAAGGCCAATTCAGCCAAGAGCATCCTCAACAAGTCTGTACCTCCCACAGTGGAAGGGCTTTAAAGCAGGTGTGGCTGGGGGTACTTTGAGGGTGGTAATCCTTGTGTGGCTAGTGATGTGCCTAAGGTGGAACTCTGGCAGGCCTTTGCTGTATTTTTTAACAGTTTGTGCATTCATCCCAAATAATCCAAGTATCTGCACCTGAAATGTCTGAGCAGAGGTAGGATAGGAAAGAACAACAACTGCACCAAGAGGTAAGGCAGGCCCTCTGCCTCTTCTGCCTTCTTCCTATTTCTACAGGCAGTCAGAGACTCAGTGTGGAGGGTGGGAGGTGGGATGTGACCCAAAACATGAGAAAAAACCCCTTGGATGTGGGTGTAATTCATCATATTTTATTCATTCATGATGGCAGAAGTTTCTCTCTTCTCTTCCCCCCTTAAATAATGTGGTTCATTTGAATAAAAAGATAAATAATAGCTGTCAGAAAAATGTGCTGTTCTAGCAAGTCTGAAAACTTTTGCTCCGCTATAACAAAAGCATTTTTTCTACAGAGATTTTCTACAGAGATGTAGAAAACATTAATCCCCATCTGCTGAACTAACTCTTATCATGTTGCCTTCAGTCCTTTGTTTTCCTCCCAAATTAGTTCTGCCTATGCCCAGATGGGCAGGGGACACATTCAATAAGAAATTAGCAAATCTGGCTGTCTTTTGAAGCGAATGTATCTCTCCAGGCAAGTTCTCCTGAGAGTCCACTGAACTGGAGGCAAGTCCTCCCTGCAGCCAGTCTGTGGCACCAATGCAGGACAACAGCCTCCCTGCTTGCACTGCACACAAGGGCTCGCCACCAGCAGTAATAACTGCACTGCGCTAATAGGAACAACACTGAATGCTGAAGTGTCTCCAGGCCCTGCACGTAGTCACCATCACATTAACAGGCTGAACGGTGACTGCTGATTGCACTGCACCATCCTTTCTCTCCTCCTCCTGCCGCACTCCAGGTACCTGCTGCTCCCCAGGAGCCTTGTCCGCACTTTCTCAGTAAAATGTGTCCTCTGCTGTTTCTGATTGCCACCTTCTCCTCCTCTGGCTGCTCATCTGGAGAATGGGGCTCTCCCTTCCACAAAAGGAGCACAGACCGCTCTGCCCTGTGTCCTGGGGGATGGTGACTAGAAGGATGGAGAAAAAGAGGTATTTTTTGTTGTTGTGTGACTAAGGAGTTAGTTTGAGGAAAAAAGGCAATCCTAGGGGGAACCAGGCACCAGATGGTGAATGCTTGCAGCACCCAAAAGCAGTTAAGCTGTAGCTGTCCTAACCCTTGGCTGTGACTGGCCTCAGAATAGCTTCCAACTTTTGCAAGTTGTCTGGTTTTGGACAGGTACCCTGCAGCAAGGGCCAAGTGTGTGCTCAGGGAGTACCACACCCTGAATGGATGGATCACACCCTATTATATACCAAGGCACCATACATACATACTGCCACATGACTGACCCTACATAGAGGACATAAGAAGGCCTCTGAGGGAAAAAAGACTGTCTAGATAACGAGGTCCTGCATTATTGCTCTTCCAGGCTCCCTTTTCCAGTGATAAATAAGGTATTTGTTTATCTATAACCGGAATGCTTCTGCCTTGCCCTGTCCTTTGGCTGCAGTTTACCTCTTCAGCTTGGACACCCTTAGCAAAGGGAACTGCTCCTGGTTTTTATTTGTGATGTAGCAATGGCTCTTGCTCGAGCAGGCGATTCTGTTCTGATCGTTGCTGTGCAGCTCGCTTGCTGCTCAACCTTTGGAAATTCACTTAACCTCAGCCTCTTATCTGCAAAGAGGGGTGCTGAGAGGCTTAATTAATTAAGTGGTCATAAAAGGCTTTCAGAATTGCTCTCATCTTCCACCTCAGCATAAACACAACATATTGAAGTAGCAGTGTGGCTGAGGGCATGATGAAAGCACGATAAAATGAGCCAAAATATAATTATAATAATACAAGGCTTTTCCCCATAAAAATCTATCTTTTCCTAGCACATCAGCACTATTCTAATTTACTGGCACAAATGCCTCCAAGGACAATTAACCAGAACAGAAGCAGCAACTGAGCCTGCAAGAAACGATGCAAAACAATGTTGAAAAAGCATTCATCTTCCAGGAGTGATAATTCAGCAGGCATTTATCGGCAGAGGTAGGGAGACCAACACATGGCTTTGAAACACTGTAAATCACAACAGCTTTGAAATAGGCAGCAGGACCAAGAGCTGCTTTCAGGTTCATGACGTTAATTTTCAGTCTGGAGTGCTTACAAAGAGAAGTGAGGAAATTGTGCCCAATGTAAATCATGGGATAAGAGACTGCCTCATGCCCTCCAATCCAGCCACAACATTTGTGAGAGTCTTTAGCCTCTTCCTCTTAAGGCTGCTGGAGAGAGAAATCTCCACATCCACTTTGTTCTCCCTCCCAAGGCTGACTGCACTGGGGATAACATCCCCAGCGAGGTGCTTTGTCTGTGGCCCTCTTCAAGGACGAGGCAGCTCCATTTCCTGGAGCACAGACAAGGGCACAGACAAGCGCACCCAGCACTTTGGAGTCCCTACAGTGAGACTGGTAAGAGAAAAAGAGTAAAGAGATGCTGTAAGAATAAAACCATGTCCCAAGAGAACTAGGCATTTCCAGAAAACAGCCATTTCAAATACATTTTTGGCTGGGGGTGATCATATAGGAGTTTTGAAATGCTGGATGGCTTGTCATGGCTTGTCCTGGTAGGAGTTAAAGCCCTTAGCTCAGGCGAGCTGTTTGCGGAGTGAGGGGCAGTTCAGCGAAGGCCCTGGTGCAGCACAGTGCAGGAGGAGGCTGCTAGGCACTCTCGGCTGCCAGCAGGTCTGCTGGGCTGCTGGAGAGTGAAGGGAAGGCAAAGGGGGCAAGGAAAGGAGGCAAATACTCCTTAGTTTGTTTACAAAACACCTGAAGAATGAGGGACTATCAAAGACAACAAATTTTTTAAATTGCACACACACAAAAAATGTCATGACAGACCACACTCAAGAAGACCCTCCTGAAAACAGTATCACTGACAACTTAACATTTATCTAGAAGAGTCTCATCTTATGTATGGAAATAAGGAAATCCCAAGATGCTGTTCAAACTGTTGATCCTTTTCTGCAGCAGAGACACAACTCAAGGGCTGGGAACTTTAACAGCCTTTACATTTTCTGAGTAGAGACTGAAGAGTGGATTGGTGGGTTGACAGCATTCAGAAAAGAGAGCAGCAGAAATGTCTGCCCTGAATGGAAGAGGTGAACAAGAGTTAAAAAAAAAAAAAAAAAACTTTTGTACTGAAGCTACAGAAAGGGTGGGCAACCAAATGCTTCAGAGCTGTTTTGTCTGTGCTCCCGTGGATGGATACAATCCAACTTCTCAAGCTATGATTTAGTCAGGATCCAGCAGTAACTTGCAGGTTAGAGGAAGTCTGTTACAGTTCTGATCCATCCTGCTCAGCTGATCCAAGCCAATATATCAGAAGGTGCTTTGTAGAAAATGTGTGAGGAATAATATTAGCCACGAAAAAGCCATTTTTCTAGTGCAAAACCTGCATTTTATTAAAGACATATTTTGGAAGGCCCATTCAAAAATACATTGTGCTCAGTAAAAATTAACCATTTCCATGCTAATAGTTAAGGTTACCACAGGATTTTTTTTCTCTTTTAGAATATTTACAGCAACAATAGAAATTGTACAGAAGTTAAGAATGGAATACATGCCCCCCCAAAATTTGGTAAGATGTACCAACAACATGATACAAAGGATTGTATACAATCACTTTACAAATGGTTTATTAACTTGCATGAAGTCATCTTTAAATATTCAACACATTTTAAAATCAATTTGTATTCCAGGATTAAAAAGGTTAACATCACATCACATCCCTTCCACAACAGAAAGCATGGTAAATTTAAAAGTTTGTGCGCTTCAGCCTTTCTAACAGCTGTTAATAAAATCGGGGAATTTTATCCATAAATTTAGAAGTTCTGAAAACTACCTCCACAGTCTGTTATTTTTGGAATAGTCTGTACTGGCAGATGGTGAAAAAAAGATCATATTTTTCTAAACCTAGTTCTTCCTTCCTTCTCCCAAATGACATAATTCAGAATTCAGTATTTCACAGTGGAGATCTAAGCAGTCCTGAAAGGTTTCCTCAACAGATTCACCAGATTTCAAAATGCCTGCATAGAATTTCCAGCAAAATTATGGTTTCACGGAAGATTTTAGCTTACTGTTCCATATAAATCAAATATATAGATGTTACTCCTTTCGATTAGACATATCCTTCAGTCGTATGAGTCTAAGATGTGTACTAGCAAAAAAAAGGTAAGAAAGAAAAAAGGGGAAAAGTGTAGACAGTTACCTGAATCTGACCTATGTTTGAAGCTCTTCCTTGTTACTAAACAGTTATAAGCTCTGCCATTGGATTTACCCGTCAAGAGTCTTCTATCTTGTGCTATGAACACGCTTTAACTCCGCTAATAGAAAGCTCTACAAAAGCAGTTACTTGACGTAGCATTTCTGTGCCGGTACATTTAAGATGCCACCTTGCAATTCTCAGAATGGATGCAGAGAAACAATGTCCTGCGAAAACAGGTGGAACAAAAAGCCTGGTAGGCAATATATTTCAGTGGGGGCACAATGAGGTAAGATATCTCACCCAGAAAAAATGAAAAATAAAAATGAAGAAAATCCTGAGCAAGTCTAAGGATAGCTGTTTGGATAAAACAGCAAACAGGGTGGAGTAGTAGATAAGGCCTCTAACTCCCTGATAATCTGCACTGGAGAAACAACAAAGAACAAGGCAACTGCAATATTTGAGAACCACAGGGGGAAGTGCAAGGGAAGACCGCAAAGCAGTGCAAAGGATGGCATTAGGATTCTAGAAGGAGAGCTCAGATGGCTTGAAGATTTTAGAAATATATCAGATGAAGGCCCATTAAAATGTCATTACTTGGTTGCTAACAGTACCTAAAGGAAAAATCTTCTTCTGTGTCTCTTCAAAATCTGGAGTCGCTAACAAACTGAGAACAAGCAAACCAAATCTTGACCACATTCTGTAAGAGAGAGGAGGTAGATCAACTTGCAGAGGTGACAAGAGAGGTCTAGAGTCACATCCTGACCTCTTAGTCCATTTCATAAATTCCACATTCAGACCCTCGGGCCACGTCTTCAGTCACATTTGCCTGGCTGCATATTTGAGTTACATTCTGAAAGAGCCTCAGAAGCAATCTGATTTGGTGAAATAAAAGCATCAAAATATAGAGGGGTGGTGGTCCTCCCACACATCTTGCACTTAGTATGTCAAAAAAGACACCTTTTGCTCCAAATCTGCCTGTACATAAGGATACTCCTGGCAACAAAGGCAGAACTTGCAGCAGGTAAGCTCAAGTAAGGTAAGCCTCATCCACCAGATTTATATCTGCTGTCTCCTGCAATAGCTATTAAAACAGACCATTGAAACAAAAGATCATCCACTTAATTTTATGAAATTTGCTTCGTGATTGCAGAATGAAAAATCTTGCAGTTTCATTACAACATCGGAGCCAAGTGATGTGATCTGTACAGGCCTTTATTAGCCTGAAAGGCCTTCAGCAATGATGCACTGTGCTGTTTGATCCTTTGAAGAAGGAGCCAACATCTAGAAGCTTCCAAGCTGTGTTATATTAAAAGAGTTTACTCAAATTGCTCCCTTTTTAACAAAGGCTAGAAAGGAAATGGCTTTTCTCCTCATTCTCTACAAACCCCATCTAATGGATGGTTAATATCATGACACTATTAGGGAGAGCTGCATGGGGAAAGGCACCTGTTCTTAAATAGTGTCCTGACTGAAGGTTATTTAAAAATGGTTAAATAGGGCACACTACCTTTCCAAGCATTTTCTGTGACATTCTTATCCTATTTCACATGGTGGGCCTACTTACACGAGCTGCAACAGCCCAGCTATGTGGTTTATGGTGTAATCCCATTAATAGATGCATCATGTGTGCTAAGTTTGGAATGTAGGAAATGAAACATTCATGGCCACCCCACACTTCGTGGCATATTTATGCGACTATCCTTTTAATATAATTTGCGTGACTGATTGAGATTCAAATGTTTTTACCCCTTCTACTCTAACAGTGTTCAACACACAGAGAATTAATTAGACACAGATATTTTTAAAGCATTCTCACTCCCAAATAGTTTCAAGACAACAAACAACTGAAATGTGAATAAAACTTTCTAGCTCGTGGTTCCTCTTGAAAGTGCCTTGGTTTTGTCTTAGATTACAACAGTGCTTTCAGAGTTATGTAATCAGTTACGTTGGTTCTAGGGAAGGTCTACAGAGCTGAATTGCTTACAATACATGGCTTTTTCTGGGTGAACACAATGGTCTAGTCAGCTAATAGTTACAGTGGCTTTTGAAGCAAACAAAATGAAGCTGGTCATGTAGCTTTCTGTACTACTAAGATTTATCCCCCCCCCAGAGATCCAACTAGAAAGGCAAGGAATGGCCAAAAGCCAAGTGCCTATCACAGGACTCCACTTCTTGAAGAATCTGCTCTACTTTGCTCCCAGAAGCAAGTTGGTCCAGGAGAAAAAGGGGACAAGCCTAAAGATGATTTGAGGGTGTACCGTCAGACTCGAAGTTTAAGGCCTGCTTTAACATTCATCTAAAACAGCGAGTATCTGTAGAGTTGTATCAGAAACCCTATGTCTAGGTGGGTCTGACTTGGTATCTGAAATCAAAGTTTGATATCAGTTTGATATCAGCCCTGTGGGGTGGGAAAGAATGGACTGAATCTGGGATCGCTGACTTCCTGCCAAAAACTGTCCTGGTGAGCTCTTGGAGGAGCAATGAGCTTCGGAGTGTGATAATGGAACAAAAAGTATTAAGTGGCTCTACAGGTCCGTTCTCTGCGGTCAGGTCTATTGAAAAATGTTGTTTCAGGCTAACACATTTTCATGACAGTTTGGAAGGACAACTTAAACACATATGCAGTTTAAATAAAGAGGAGCTTAAGGTGCCTTTTCTCAGTTAACAAGAGCTCAATAATAGTAAAAACATATAGACGAGTTCAGGCAGCTTGAGTTCTGCAAAATGACTATAATTCATTTCTGAAACTTAGGCTTTTTTTCCATTCGCATCACTAGTGATGCCATAATAAGGCAAAACAGATCGCCAAAGAATAAAATACAGTCTAAGATGCTTTATCCTAAATAACTCTATAGAACACGTAGCACAAGACTCACAAAACAGCGAAGAAGCAAGCTCGCACTTACAAAATCGTTTGCTCTGTAATTCTCTTCTCCTTTTTTGAGTCAGCAAATCTCAGTCACTGTAATAAGACTCCTGCAGAAGCCTCAGCAAAATTACACTAGGAATACTCTAAATAGTTAGACCAGGTTAAAAATACTCAATTAATCCCAGCACCAGCTGGCTGAGCTGCTGGAAGTTCTTTCCAACAGAAGGAAGAAAACATTACATATGTTCAACACAATCTAGTAGTCAACTTTAATCTATTACAGTTTGTTGAATCTGAGAAGAAAATGCATTAGGAAGTAGGAAGAACTTTCTGTAAATATGGGCCACCAAATACTTGAACACTCCTTGGGTGACCCTTGAAGCTTTGCTAACTATTTTAAACAGCTATAAGTACAGTCAGAGATTACCTTAACTTAACTCAATGAGTACTGAAGAAAAATCCTTTAGAAACATTTTTCCCTGCCAGAAATCAGAACAACCATAGACAGCCCAGTATGATTATCCCAAGCATGAAGCTTTTATCAACACGGTAAAAGTCTAGTAGAGGCAAAATAAATTATATTCAGAAAGTACAGAAGAGCCTAGTCTGAATGCTCAGTTTGAGACATTAACATAGTACTGCTTAGAGCCCCACTCTTGAACTAAAGACAAGGTTTTTGTAAGGGGTTTCAGCGGCATCAGCCCAGTTCAGAGCACAGAACAGGACTAACCCAATTGTGATGAACTGGTGAATCCAAAAAAGATTTCTAAAAGATCAGGAGAAATATGCTGTGATAATAATGAATAGTAAACATCACAATGTGCTTCTTGGATGCCCAATGACATTATTAAAAAGATGGACACCCTGTCATGTCTACTATATTTATATATATGATATATATGATACATAAACACAGAATATATCATATATATCTATTAAAAAAACCCACATACATATTTCTCGCAGACAATTCAAAAAATAAAGAATTCTTGCTTTGTAGTTTTTCAGATTTACTAGACTTGCTTTTTGCCCTGGACAAACCTGAAATCATTTCATATTGTACTTTATGACAAAGATTTTCAAAGCAGCGGTGCCAATTTTGTTGTATAATGTTCTTAGAACTTTGGTATGATTCAAGAGGTACTGAACATCATCATGTCCAGTTTGCATTGTTATCAAAGTAGGAACTTCAGCTCTTACCGTCTGGCTACTTCTGTTAACTGTATCTATGGCTAAATCATCAAATTTACATTCAGGTTAATCTCTTTTTGGAAAAGACAACATATTTGCAAGTACATTTACTTTATAAGAACATCATATATAAAATGAACTATGCTGCAGAGTAATGAGGGAGTTGAACTAACGTGTTTACAAAGGAAAGATTGTATTGTTCTGACACTACAGGCCTTACTCTCCTCTTATTGCACTAAGTTTAGACTAGCGTAACTCTTTTGACTTCTATTGACTCACCCTTGACTGATCTTACCAGCAGCAACAGAGGAATCAGGTTGTTTATTTGCTACACTTGAAATTTACCAGTGTAAAGGCAGTTTTTACAATGTTCTACAGGAGACTGGAACTCTAGATCTACTATTTTGCTGAGACTGGAAACTGAACTGTGCATTGGAATATTCTGAGACCAAAACGTAAGGAGAAAATAAGCTGCATGGCAACCTTTTTCCCCAAAATCCAAATACCAGATTGGTAGCTTTAAATACATCCTGAAATATAATAAAAAGTGCAAGAGTATTTCAAATTTAAATACAGTGTTCACCTTAATAGTTAATAATCATTAAACAAGATATAAAATACACATATACATAAAAGCTTACACCATGATCTGCAGCGGCATGCTATGCGTAAATGTCAAAGTTTGGCATTTCACTTGCAATTCATGCTATGTTTCTTTGGTCTTCACCCCTACTATTAAGTGGAAGAGCACCTGCTTTAGCTTGTAGTCACGGGGCACTTTATATCTTTAGAGGAAAAAAATTGGTACTGGGGCTCTATGCTCATGATGCAGATGCAAAACTCCCATTAATATTAATAGGAAAGCTAAGGACACAGTTAGGGGAGAACACACTACATTTAGATTACTGTACAGTTCTGCAGTCTCTTACAGTTAGCCAATACTTCCAACAAACTAGCCCATAATAAAGCTTGGAACTGAACGCTGTCTTTTGTTTGTTGCCAGTAATGCCTATAATACTGGGCTCTAATAGCTGAGCAAAATTCATACTGTTACAGTCACACTTATATCCACATTCAACTTCCTTTTATTAGAAGTATAATACTGCACTTTATATCACAAATGTATAAAAATATGGCAGATAGTGTCATAACAATACCTTTCTTTTAAATGAGTATATTTAAAAAACAGACAGTTATTTTCCATTTATATATATATTTATATATAGAATAAAATACTCCTGATGCAATATATAAATGTTACTGTTAGTTTTTTTTATAGAAACTACTGTAGCTGTTGCACTGCTTCACAATGTTTCAAACAGCTCAAAATAACTTTACATTATAACATAAAAGATATGATTATAACAGTACGATATTAGATCATCATAAATAAATATTACAAATCCTATCAAATATGGTAGTTTAAAAAACAAATTTAAGACATACAATTTAACTTTAAACCCTTAACAGGGATACACTTTTATCACATAAACCTCACTGTTTTAACTAGGCAGCAAAAAAGGTAGTAAGGGCATAGGTCTAGACATGAATGTTTTCACCCTTGTAAGTGCCAATACATACCAAAAGTCTCCCAGCTTTCAGACAGAGATGTGCACTAAGCTGGAATGTAAACGAGAGAGAACAGTAATACATTTTTCTCCCTGAACGGCACACTCTGCCTGGTATCCAGTGACATTTCTGATGACTGGTAATGCACAATTCAACTTGTTTTACTGTGTAATCCCTGACTCTCACTGTGGTGCCAAATAGCATAGCTCCACATGTACATATTGCACACCTTTATAAAGCTGAAAATACAGTCTTGCCATCACCAGAACCACCACCACTCCCCTATGTCAATCTCCATGTGAACTGGCCTATTTTCTGGAGTGCAATTACAAGGCTGTCTCTTTTAAATCATTCAGATTTGGCATTCGTGATCGGTTTGTTCGGTTATACGTGTGCCCGTTCTGTCCGCTCTTGGAAGGCAGCTGATCGGAGTAGGGAGGCCCATCGTTTGCGCTCCTGTTCACTGGTGCGACGTGCCAGCTAGGTTCCAGCTGGCCAGGTATCTGCAGTGCTGGCCTGTTTTTTGACTGAGACTCTTGCCGTACATTGCTGCTGCCGCTGCTGGAGCTTTGACTCATGGGGTGAATTCGCACTTCAGAAAAAGAAGCTTTGGCTGGCTGACTTGGTAAGGGTTGGAAGCGAGGCTCAGCAGGGACAGAATGATTTGAAGAGGAGAGATGCAATAGCTTTCGAAGAGATTTTAATGGCTGGTTCTGAAAGACATGGCGGAAAGCACTTGACCTAGTAACCTCTTGTTGTTATAATGCTATATCAGACTTCCTGTAGCAAAACTGTCATATTTTAAATTGAACATTTTAAACTTCATAGGACTTCATCACTTTTAATACGCATTCATTTGGAATATTTCAGTTCAAGCTATGACTACACACCTGAAAAAATGTCTTCTCATTATGATTCAAATCTATTAGCTACCTGGAAAGAGGAAATGGCTACATCAGAAAAACTTTTGTTCCCACCAATTAGTGTAGCCTGATTTCCTATGAGAAAGGAGGCGTAGACATCTGCATTAGTAGGAGTACTGACAGACGGACAGCTATTAACTTTAGAACCTCATCCATATTTTATGGCTATATTTTACCGATCTGGGAAATATGAAGTTCCTTAAAGTTTCCTGAACATCAGTGTGGCATAGAGAGAGACCTGAGTAGCTCTCCACACTGAGATAATGGCTGGCAGAACTCAGCCATTAGGCAGCAGCTGGGTGATAAGCCGTTCTGGTCCCTCACAGCACGGGCTTCTTTAGCTGGTGAGCAGGTCATAGAAAAACAGAGACATGGGTTTACTGAAATGGGTAAGGACCTGGGGGAGCCCAAGAACACAAACTGGAAGGGGAATTGCTTTCATTAAATGCCACGGCTCATAGAACAACTTATTTCAAACACTGCAGCTGTAACAAACCCTCTTGTTCAGTTTTCAATGTTGTAAAGGCAACACAGCACGGCACAGAGGCTCCCTCCCAAACCCTGATTCCCAAAAGCTGGTTTTAGAACTGGAGAAAACAAAGCTGCATCAGTGCACTGCTATACTCCAAAAATCTAACCTGCTCAAACAGCAGTTTGTGCCAGCTGAGGCACAGCTGCACTTTAATGCGGGTACAGTGCTCTTAGGACCCCATCCACTATTTCTGTGTGGGGTACCACTGCACCCTCAGGATGCACCATTCCCTGCAGTGCAAACTGGAGGGTCTTCATACAATGCTCCATTGCCTGCCAGAGATGTGCACTTTGATTTCGTTTGCCTCCAATACAAAACATAACCAATATTTCAGAAGACTCAAAGACTGAAAAAGGGACTTACTGTCTCTCTTATTTTCCCTGTCATTCATGTCTAGATTATCAAAGAATTATGCAGGATGGAAGGCACATGACTTTGTACTTTCAATGAGCAAGAAATGGGGAGGCTAGGAAATAATGCCAAATGCGATTTTTCTATTCACCAGAGAAAAAGCTGTCAAGACACATCAACGATCTCAGAATACAGGGAACCGATAACGCCACTTACCTGAGGCTGGATTTCTGTCATCTTCTCAGGATGCCAATCCTTCTGCCTGCTGCTCTGGTGATTAGAAGTGTGAATGGCTTTCTGTAATGCCAAAAGATCCTGACCATCACTACTAGGCATCTGCAACAAAATATTAATTAGCAATTTCTTAATATACTCTTAAAAATAGCTGTAAACCATTTCCCCCAGTTAATCACATAATGCAAGTGAATCCCATTACTGCAGCAGAATTGTAATGCACTTTCATTGTTTTTCCCCATAGTAAATACAGAGTGGCTGTGGATATCATGCAGATTTGCTATACCCTTAGCCCTTAAAGCATTCACATGCTGTTAGTGTTATTTGCTGTAAGAGAGAGCTGTTAAACAAGGCTTCCAAAAAAAAAAAAAACCAAAATTGTTGCGCCTCATCTTCACTTAAAAAGCATTCCATACTGCAGTTAAGACCATGGATCAGTTCTATAAATTTGTTCCTATGTGGTGAAGCAGATCAAAATAATCTCTAAATTGATGTCTGGCTGATTTTGCCATCACAAGAAAAAGGGCTTTTTCTGTCCCCATCTTTCTTCTCTTCCCCAAATATTCCAAACTACAGTAAAAATTGAAAAACTCCCCCCAAAATGAAAAAGAAACAGCAACTTCAGCAAGACTTACGGCAGAGAAATTATTTTAAGCTTTTACTATAATGAGTTCTATCTCATTTCAATAATTTTATTCAAAAAATTGGAGAGTTAAAATTTTAAAGACAACTTGCACGAAAAAGAGGTTATCACGAACAATCAGGAGAAACAAAAATACAGTAGAAGCATGAGCTAAAAACTTTTTTTCCAGAGAATCTGTTGTTACGGTATTTGTTTAATTCAATTCCAATATAAAGGAGCAGTTTGCATACAAAATGCATCTCCAATACAGCTATAAAATAAATCGAGTTAATTTTTCCTGACTGAAATAAAACGAGATAGTCTAATTTTAAATATATGTGACTTTGCAACTATTTTCCTCCTTTAATATCATTCTCCTTGGAACTGTGTATATTGCATTTTCAGTATATCAGACTACTAAAAACATTAAAAAAACCCAATCTATTCCAACAGAACTGCCAATTGTACTAGAATTTATCGAACTGGCCCAGGATACTTAACTGGCATGAAGAGAAAGTGAACCCGTGAAAATAAAATACATGCTGCTGTAGTCAGTAAAACAAGTTTACTGGAGCGTTTTACAGTGCTACTGTACTTAAAAATTAATACCATGGGTAGAGTGACTACAGGAAGCTTTTTCAAAGAAGAACTATGCTTTAAATTATTCTTTGAATTAAAAAGAGGGAAGAGGGATTTCTTGATGCTTGGATTCTCCCCGTTGGCTGAGTCTGTCTGCAATATAAGATACAAAAACTAAATGCATAGTATTTCAGTTCAAGAGATCTGTCCTTACTATATTCATACATTATGTATTTTTTTTTAAATTCCAACAATATATGATATTCATCCATTCATTTTGCCTGAGGAAAATAAAATACTGATTGATGTTCTGAATGAAAAGAAGTGTATGGAATAAATTCAAGGAATTCAATGCACATAAAGAATGTAAAAAGAGATCAGTGCACCTATTCTTACATTCATGCTCCATTAGAAATGCAGAGAACATTTCAGAGCCTTTTGAAAACAACAGGTAGCTCTTGTTGACTTTAATGAGCTTTGGATCAAGGCCATCATTTGTTACTTCTGCTAATGATCTAAAATGGTATGATATTTCTTATTTTGATATAAATGAAATATCAAACATATGCTAGCAGTAATAGCAACCAATTTTAGAATGAGCAATTGATAGTTACCTCTAAAAGGAATAAAAGTATTATGTTTTTAACTTTTAAAAAGAACTATGGCTCCAAGATGAATTTTTTTTAGTTCTGACAAAAATGTGCCTTCAACAACTTCATTTACAACCGCAAGGGCACTTGCTGTTTTAGTTTTATTTCTGTAGTACAAAGGGCATACCAATAGATACACAGGTAGCAAACAGAACTATCAAGTATTAAAATTTTAAGGGAGAATATTCCCCCCCTTCTCATGTACAAACAAGCACTCGACGCATAAGCTGTGTCTAGCGTTACTTTGTCTACCAAAAAACCCCTTTATAATACCACGTAACGATTATATGACTAAACAGAATGATAGAAGCACTACTAACAGAGAAGGTTTTCAGACAGTTTTCTCAGCTTCTAGATTCCACTTAGCATATCCAAACTAAGGAAAGGCAGAGTCACTAATTAACACAGCTTCTTTAGAAATGTTATGGTCAGAACACTTTTCTGTTTGAAGTTCAGTAAGCCAAAAAGGAAAGCAAAGCATTACTAGCAGGAGTGCTCACCTGCAACGGGATTTTCCAGAGGACATTGTTTCTTCAGAGCCATAGCTTGGAATACATGCCAAAATCTGCAAAACTTGCGCTCCTCTGAAAATAGTGCTTATTGACACTGCACACAACCCTCATGGATATCAACGTGCTTGGTGCCAGATTATGGAAAGAACTGTGAATCTAACAATCCTCAAACCTTTTGCTACGTTAAAGAAAGACTCCAAGCAAGATGAAAAGGAGAGTGGGTAAGACTAGCTCTGCGAAAACAATATTGCAAAGAATTCCTGTAGCAGGCAGTACTGATTATCATACCATGAAGAACTACACCCAGAGAACTCTACAGAGAATGATTAATGGAAACAACTCTTCTGGAGGAAGCGGGAGGGATTGATGCCAGCTCTGGACTATTAGAGATTAAGAGAATGACATCATTAAAAAGGTATCTTCAATCCAATTTAAGATACCCTTTATGACTCTTTGGAGAGTCTCATTTAGCCAGTGATCATCCTAAGGACATCAGAAGTAAATAGCAGCTAGCAGATGTGGTACCGTCACCCTCTTAACAAACTCACTCTATTACATGCTTCTCAGCGTTATGATGATTCTCAGGCCTAGCTTGTTATTTGCTGAAGAACGTCTATGTTGGAGTAAAGTAAGCATAACAACATACTTCCAGGAGTCCATAAGAATTGGTAGCCTTATTAAAAAACATGGATAGTTGCAAGCTACATGTTAGCTACATTTTTAATGTGAATTTATAAACAACATTCTTCTTGTGGTTGAAGAGCTATTACTACAGTACTGTTAAAAGCTTTTACTACTGAAGGCAAATTTGGTGCTGAACTGAAGATAAACATTTTTGTTTGTGCCAGAAGATACTAATGAACATCCCAACGCTTTCAGGTAGACTTTCTCAACTAATAGACATTTGGTAAAGATCAAAGATCAGTGTCTGAATCAGGTACCTGTACCTTTACATTGGCGTGTGTAGTCTATCCTCATATACTCTCCTGTTAAACAGGACAAGAAAGTAGAAATCAAAAACGATTTTGTAATCGCTGGTGAGATCCAAAGATCCAACTGGTGCCAGCAAGTCTCTAGATCAGAATGTAAGAATTTTACGTCACCGCAAGAATTTTAAGCATCTTCCTGTGAGATACTAGCTCGAACTAGCCAAAATAATTTTCTCTTATGCAAAATTTTTTTTTCTCTCCTTAAGAGTGAAAAAAACAAATGAAGACAAAACAGGAGTAAGGACTGTGTGTAAGTCTGTCCTGTCCTGTTACCAATGATGCTTTTGGTAGTTACAGATCAAGGTACTTACCATTTAGAATTTTTAGAAAGCTTTGGATTTTAAGATGCAACCCAATCCAGTATATTTTTCCTTCATATAGTTTAAGCTGGAAGTAGTTGATACACTATCTATCAGCCAGGCTTTTAAAGTGTTCTCTACCACCATGCCTGAAATGATTTGAATCAGGGCAGACTAGAACAATGCAAATTTAACATTGTTTTGGAAAATGCATCATTGGAATCAATGTTTTTAGCTGTGCTTTCCTTTCGGGGACATTTTGATACCAAATAACACCGGAGTTTAAATATAGATATTTTCTTCAGTTGTGTAATACAAATAGTCATATTTTAACTGGGCACAAGTATCAGGATGAACAACTTCAGAATCATGCAGCAGTTTGGGATTGCACATCAGCACATATTTAATTATTAATCAATGCTATTATTGTATGTAAGAGATTTTAAAAAGTCTATCTATTTGCCCTAAAAATAGAACTAACTTACAAACTACATATATACAAGAAGAGGAAGACTAGCGCTGTGGCACAAAAACTAAACTAACAGCTGAACCTAAAGAACATAATAGAAAAGAAACTAGGGGCAACTGGCATGAAGAACCGTTACCAAAGCTCGTACTGTGAGCCATACAAATGTATGCTGCGCACAGCTTCAACAGTCACTTACTTTGTATATGTTGATGGCATATCCCAATAATCTGCTGCACCAATGTTCAGTGGAGAATATTTTCAGCGTAATGCCATCTGATCCCACATAGTGGTAGAACTTCTTTAAAAAATCTCCCTCTTTCATATGCAACAGACTAAGGCCCACTGCATACAAAGCTTAAAATCTAGTCTCCACTGATCTATTTACATTAACGTGAATTAAGAATAACTTCAGCAAAGGCACAGGCCAATGAAAAGGTGTTGTTTAACAGGAATTTTGTGCACTACTGCCCAAAGATTCATCACACAACCACACAATAGAGTAGAGAGGGAGAAAGGTATTTTGAAAAATAGTCTGACATGATTCTGGAGGTAGAAGTCCTTCTGCTTTCATTCATAGGCCATTTTTGTGAAATAAGAAGAGGTAGGAGCCACTGCCCTAAAACCTGGCCAGAAGGAAGACAAGGCACATTTTTTGTGTGTGCTAGTTAAAACATGCACGCACACATTCCATGCAGTTCAAAGAGAATAAAAAAAGAAAACTGGTTCTCTCTCCCAATTTTCATCAGATCAGCCCTCCATTGACAGCCAGAGTCACGCCACCTCACTTTATGACAGCAGATATTTTACTTTAGTTACTCCCCTTTGCCCTGTGGTACCATTAACAACTTTCGACACAAATTCAATTGCAGAAGAGTAAGCATGATTTACTCCGTTCTGAGAACCTTGAAAACTGTAATTGGAACTTCCCTTATAGAAGTATTGCTACTTAATTTTTATAAAACATTGAGCACTTAAACAAAACAAAACATAATCTACAACAAATGGAATTAAGCAAGCTCCTCGGAAAAGTGGTGCACACGTTACTATACAGTCTGATTTTCAGATTCCAGTCAGGTCTGAAATTTATCCTCTTATTCATACTCTGAGAACATCTGACACAACACCAGTAACAAATAAGGAATTATTGTTATTAACAGGTTTATAATAAAGCCACTTTTTAAAGTGAGAAACCCATCGTAAAATAATGAAAATGAAAATTATGGTAGAACTCTTAGCTTTACTACTCAGACTATGCAGAAAAATGAAATAAGAATGAAGCCCACTGAAAAGAACAAGTACCATAGAAAGATACAGAAGGCTTACTTCTGACATTATTTTGTGCATAAGATTTAGCAATATGCTAGTATACTAGTAAGAAACTATTAAAAAGTTCAGAAGTTCTGCTGCTGATGGCCTGCCTGAGAACTCCAAGATCACACTTTTTACTAGCTATAATTTAAAACAGAACACCTGCAGTTTTAAAAATTTTGTAAAACAGACTTAATCTAAACATCATTTTAAAAACTAAACATTTCCACAACTGCCCTCCAAGAATAGGATGATATGAAGTTTAGATTTCTTCAGTACTTAGATGAAATTTTGTTTTAAAACTTTGTGAAAAGTGAATATACTGCTATCCGCTGACAAAAGAAAGTTCTTTCTCCTTCCTGACAACTAGAAGGAAATGTAAAAACGCATAAAAGACCAAGGCTTATACCAAATAACAAAAGCCACAATCCCTATCCCCCAAAAACCACAAAGCATTAAGAATGGTCGAGGTACATTACCCTTATTTCCAGCTACAGTGAATGGCAAGAAGATGGAGGCCATCATCAAAGCCATGAAAAAGACTGGAAAGAATTCTCACTTCTAACAGTTTTATCTCCTTCTAATAGGTGTCTGATAAATTATTTAAGCTGAGGACACACAATAACGTAGCTGTTATTCTTGGAATAACAGATCCCACAGTTATCTCTGTTATTACGTTGGTCATCACCATATACTGTGAAAGAATTTGCAACTTTGGCTTAAAGCTCGCATCAAAACTGGTTCTCAAAGAGTCAGAATGAAAAAAAAAAAAAAAAAAACACACAGGAAACGTATCTAGTAGGTGAATAAATGTTTGAAAAGGCAGATAAATAAACCCTGAACAGGGAAAGAAGTTGACTTTCATATAGTGAAGACTGAAATTGAAAGAATAGACAGATATATGCGGGTATGATCACAAATCATACAGAGGTACTATACTGATCTAGCATATTAACATGGTTCAATTCAAAACTGATAATTGCATATTTTCTTTTGGAAATACTGTATACTTACAGTTTGAGATTTCTTCTTTTTCTTTTTTATTGCCCTGAAAAAACCTTGCTTTTCTTTCTCCTTGAGCTGTTCAGAGTGACTGTTAAGATTTTCAGGACTTTTCCTAAACATGAAATAAGGCATCGTAAGAGAGAGTTCATTTAGACATTCTGTAAATTTTTTGTAAAAATAAGATCTTATGACAAAGAATGCAAATTATTGATTAAAGCGAAAAGATTTGAAATGTTTTAGCGTTCATTGGTTCAAGGGTTACTATACAAATAAAGGATAAACAGTCTTACTAAATGGGATAGGAAGAACACAGTGTTAGGGCAAAATGATTAGCTCAAACCAGTGAACAGTTATTTAGGGAGAAGGTAGGCATGCATGTCTTCTTTTTTAAATAGAATTTAATATTCAGACCAAAACATCACACGCAACATATTTTAAGAAATTAAAATCATATCTGAGAGAACATACAAACGATGATGAGGTATAAAAGCACAGATCCAGTTTATCCATTGCTTGCTGAAGAGTCAGGAGTTGCAAAGAAGTTCATCAGACAGAACAGATTTCAATCAAAATTCCTGACCTTTGCTGACATGGTTCCAAATTTATCATCTGTGAAGCCTGGGGTTCTACTGTTGTCCATTTCAACTTAACAACTTCAGTAAAAGTTTGTTATGCATGGGTGAGGCAGTGCTGCCAAGAGAAGACGACCCGAAAGTGGAATAGTTGCAAAGACTGACTTTTTATTTCCACCTTTTATCTCAACTAAAACTGAGTTATCTGCAGCTGATAAGCAGCACGTTGCTTTAAAGTACATACAGTAAACTATGGATGCAAAGTACTGATATGGGGTAAAAAGACTGTTTTAACCTATTGGTGAGACACTAACCGAATGCAGTTCTAGTGTCCTCTAATATATTTTGAAAATTGGAAACGGTGCAGGGAAGTTTCATAGAAATAATTTCTGAGACAGACAGAACGGCTTACAGCAATGGAGACAGAGATTTCAATCTAATATGTTAAAAAAAAAAATCAACCAAACAAACCCCACCATTTAGAGTTTCCTTGATTGCTGCGCATAGGTACTTTTCCAGGGAGAAATCACTGAGTACAAGAAGGATCTTTAAAGTAAAGGGAAAAGACGTAACAGGAACAAGTAGGTGGACGGTGCAGCCAGAGAAATTTGTGTTAGAAATAAGGCACTGATTTTAACAACGAGAATCATTAGTTGCCAGAATAAACTCCTTAGGGGAAACCGTGGATTTCCCATCTCTGACTTTTCAAAGCAAGACTGGACACCCTTCTGGGAGGTGCACATTAGTCAGATAAGCTACTCTGCTTAGCCTCCAGGGAATGGATGACACTTATTAGCAATTAATATACAGGAAGTCTTCACTGGGTGATTCAATAGTCCTTTTTAGCCTTAAGTTGTATGAAAACAAAAATGAAATTATCCCAGCGGCTGGATGGAAAACCTAAGGGACAGCCACTGTTCTAAGTGCTCTGGATGACAAACAGAAGCAGCTTTCCTTGGAGTAGCTGTAACGTAGCAACTCTTAGCTGTCTGCTATAGTTATCTTTGGGTTCTAATTCTGGCTTAAAATGCTATGCTGGTGATTCAGCAGCTGCTGCATGCTAAGCTGACATTTTTTTTCAAGCAAACATGAAACATATAATTGGGGTAGGAATCACTACCGTTATCTTCCTTATCGATAAGAGTATCTTCACTCTGATACGTGATTTGATCAACTCCTCAATTTCTATCCCAAACCCCCTCAATTCCAAAACGTTCTCTGGGTCTAACTATAACTGTATGTAGTGTTTAAATGTTGTAATAAAATGCTGTTGCTGAAGAAGGGAATGCTTAGAGGAAAGACTTACAGATAGAGAGGATGGTGGAATTTTTTCTAATTTAGATTTTTGGAACATAAATCTATATCCAAAAAACTATTCAAATACTGAACAATACAGATTTTGCTATAAAAATTACAAAGCTGGGAGTAGCTATAGGATTGCTAAGGATTCCCATTTCCATCAGGCCCCTGTATTTGGCACCATTACATAACAGCATAAGGCAGTCCTGTATCATTCACTTTACAGCACCATGGTGAAAGCCCAAGAGTAAGGACTACTGACAGCTTTACAGATGCTGTCAACTCATAAGGCTGACTTAAGACACACAAAACACCTCCTGAATGATTTAAGTGATTTTTATTTTTAGGAGTTTCATCTTCCTTTGTTTGTTAGGAAACTTGGAGGAAAACACGCACCCCAAGTAAGCTGGTTGGGCTCTGAAAGTAATGCAAGGGGGCTGAGGACAGAATCATTCAAGCCTTGCCCCAGAGGAGCCGATGTGCATCCACAGCTGGCTCTGTGCCATTCCCAAAATACAACCTAAAGGACAAAGAAACAAGCACGCCCCAAACCATGGCCCCAGTGCAAATTACCAACCCAGTGAGTATGTCGCTATAGAGGAACCAGTCTCTCAGACCAAACGACAGTCCCAGCATGGTTACTCTGCATTGTTCTTTCAATCTCTTCCTATGACTTTCCTGCTCTAAAGTCCATTCCAAAATGGAGACACCGTACTTCTAAAGATGAGCTTTATCTTCCGAATAAAACTTGGGACTATTTTGGCCACACTTTTAGATAGAGATTCACTCAAGTGTAATTGTTTTCTTTGGCCCAATGAACCTGGACAAGAAAACTGCTGCCTATAGCAGATGAGCTGACAGAGGAGAAGTGAAATTCTGCACCGTGATCTGCTAAAACTATCGTTACCAGACAGTGGAGAAAAATAAGGCGCAGAGGACTGTTCATTTCCAATCGCTGCGTACCCATAAGCCAGTGGTTTTACATTGACTGGTTTATGTCACTAGCTCCTATGACTCATATTGCAGTACTGTTGTCTGAAAAAGCACTGACCTTGAAAAGCAACCGCTTCAAAGCGTGCTCATTATGTGAAGAGGGCGAACATATATAGCATTATAGCAGGAAGTTTCAACACAAGGATTTTGGACTGAGTAAAAATAGAGCAGAACATTTCGATCGATGATATGAAACATTGCAATATTTCAGGCATCCCAAAAGATTTTCAGACAATGGTCAGTACGGCAAAAATTAGGATTATCAGAAGAAATTGGATTATATAGTCACTCAACACTGCCTATTCCTACAACATAACTACAGGTCTTGTTATTTTGCATAAAGCCTCAGCTCTTGGAGACAAGCAGTTACCCAGGAATCTCAGTGTCTTTTACTAGCAAATAAGTCTCTAGCCTTAAAAGATGCAGAAAAGAGCCCTCACTTGGAGTGCTCAACCTCAAGCACAAACCAAAGGCAAAATGTCCTCCTTCCCACTGTTTTATCATTTTGTTCCTTTTGCACGCTTAGGACATATAATATGGGTCATTTTGGTCATTCTGGTCTGAGACACTCGGGAAAGGCATATATGTAAAGAGAAATTTTGTGACTATCACTCACTTACTGGATACCTTTCTTGCCAAGGACAATTTCATGCAGGTACAACGAGGTGGAGAAGCATACATGCATGAGGCAAGGAAACTGATGTGTCATAAGATTAGTTAAAAAATTAAATAGGAAGCATGCTGCATTCATGCTGACATAGACAGACTTATATTGCACCCTGTTCCTCTCTGGAGGTAATTCTTCATGCCCCTTTCTGTTACTCCTTCAGCTTTGTTAATCTCAACAGGCAGCCTGCTTTAGAAATCATCTTTAACTGCCTCTTTACAGAAGAGCTTACAACTACATGAGTAAGATTTTGCTCTAAAGGAAGAATTATTCAAAAGTCTGAAATTTTCTTCGCAAGGTAAATGAAGAGTTATTAACTCTCAAAGTTAACTTTTGGTTTTGCTTAAAATAAAACCCTCAGTAGTTAGAGTTACCATAAACGGAGGAAGAAAATGTCAGAAACTAGTGAAACACCTCAAATATGTGGTCTATTTGAGATAAGAATCTCAATCCCAAACTTCATTAGGTTTATTTCTCAGGCAGGATATTGCTGAATATAAATTTTGGAATGTTTCCTTGTAAATAGCATTAGGTTGCAGCATCTAATTTTGACTACAAAACAAAAGCACTGATGACTGGGGAAAGGATACACTGGTTACTAGAACAGAGGTTGCATGCACTAATAGGGAGGTTCAGATGCTGCCAAGTAGATAAAAAGAAAAAGGCAAACATAGTAGGTGACAATATATATGCAATAGTCTTATGCAGGAAATGTCAGTTATACCATTAGGAAGCATGAACATCTTCAAGCTATGCAGAGCAGAATTCTAAAGCCTTAACCAGTCTAACGCACATAGTTAACTTCCAAGTTTGCAAGTTGCAAATTTTGCAGTTCCTTGATTATTTTAGACATATTCCAGAAATCTGTAAAGGAACTGGAAAATATTTACAATGCAGGAACAGGTTATACTGCAGACATGTATTGCTTTAAACTAGTTTGCTTAGGTATTGATAACCTTCTAGTTTCATAGACTTCAGGGTGAACTAGCCACTTGGCTTCTCAGGCAGACTCTTGCCATGACTACATTGCTACACTGATGCCAAAACAGCAAGATTAAGGACAGCTGGTTCATGTTTATAATATTCTGGGGTCTTGAAAACTAATGGTAGAGAGATAACAGTAAGCCTTTTTTATTTTTTGGAGTGATAAATAAAAGAAAGTGTGTGTGTGTGTGTGTGTGTATGTTTATAGGGGTGTGTGTGTACATGTGTATATATACATATTTGTATAAAAGTAAAAATACATATAAAGATATAATATAGGTGTTACACATGTGTATGTATTCTTTTTGCAGGAAGAGATGCTAGAGAAGATATGACCAGCTGTTTCTCATATAATTAATATATGAATGAATATTGTTTTAAACAACAGAGGTTTCCAGAAGCCCCCAAATATCTTTATGCAATCAATGCAAGCACTTGCAATATGAAATAAGATAAAGTACTGCATGTTAGAGCTTATCACAAAGAGATACTTGGAACTATAACAGTGGTAAGTGTAATTCAGGTCAACATTAGGGCACATTGGCAGAACGAGGTAAAAGTGGCTTGCCTGTTAAGACAAAGCTCGTACAAGTGAAAGAGAATAAAAAATCTATTCTCGTACCTAAAGAAATAAAAATGATGGAGAAGTTCAAGGTCATTTAGAGGAAATTAAACTGAGGCAAACAAAAGACTTTCTGGAAAGCTGAAGTGAACAAAGGCAAATTTTTTAAGTTGCCTAAAGCACAGAAATGATCTAGTAATTTAAAAGTAAATCCTGATGACAAAAGTTGAGTTTAGCAGTATAACATCTTTATTTTACAGAGGCAGGACAGTGAGGACAGAGTGAAGAAGTGCACACAGAGACAAAGGAACATCTGTGACAATTCAGTCTAACAAACATTCAAAAAATCTTTGACAGAAGAAAGGAAACACAGAGCAATAGCATGATAGAAGCAATATTTTACAGTAGTGGTAAGTCCAGGGTGGAATATGTCACTCATAATTTGAGATGAATTGTTACATACCAGTTATGTATTCCAATAGAACATTAAATATTTACTTCATCATAAAATTGATGTAAGCAGAACCACATTCCATTAGAGCTTTCGACATTATCATAGGCATTTACACAACTTCTATACAGAAAATTAAGTAGAGAAACAGACTCTGCATCACTGAAGAATCTCATTAAGCTGCATATACGGCACAGAACAATTCTGCAACATTAGACCACTGCCAGGACAATTTGCACACAATCACATGTAGAGCTGGGCAGGAAACGTTTCAGGATAATAGGGAGTAGGAGAAGCAAAGAGAAAAAGAAATGCATGCCAAAATAGTAGATTGCTTAGTGTTGAGGGCACTGCGTCTCTTCCATTTTACAAGAAGTGCTTGCTTATTCTTCTGTGGGTTTTTCTCTCAAAGGAGCTGTTCCACTTTGTGGAAATATTTAAGTATATTAACTGGAGCAAGGACTTAAATCTGTTTGACTCAAAGTTCATTGAGGGCCTTAGTCACCGGACTATATTCAGCATTTCTGTAGTCCTTCCACTATTTCAACAAGATGAAACAGCTTCAAGAGAAGACATTAACGGAAATAGAGAATGTGCTTCAGAATAACCTGCAACTTCTGGTTCAGGGCATGCACTGGTTAGACCCAAGATCTTGGTTCAAGACTCTGGTTTATATAACAAAGAACAAAGGCCCTGAACTTGAGTTCCTCACGTTCCAAGAAGTAACACTAACCCCAGAATACTTGCTATTGTATGGTGAGTACCTCTCTTGTTTTGACAGATAATTCCACCCTGGAGCAGAAGGATCTTCCCACTAAAAGGTTAGTTGATAATATCAGTCTGCTGCTTTGAAATGTTTCCGTTTTGATGATTTGAAATTTTAAGTGAAAAAATACTTGGTCAAAAAATTCCCAACCAGCTCTAATAACATGCTATTATTTCAATTCAGAGTTAATATAACATTGCAAGACCCTTTGTAGCGACTGCATAATCGAAGGAAGTATCTTGCTGAATTATATAGAAAGCAAAGCAAAATTCCAATTGGCTTAACTTATATGCAAGATAACGTAATTCAGATATGAAGGACAATAAAATATGTAAAAGGGTTCAAGAGTGGAAACAGTACCTTCTTTAGTCACATAAAAGTCAGTCACAATATAAGCACCATCTTTTTACATAAATGACCACATCCCCAAACTACCTACCACCCAAACAGAGGCAGGTGGGGCTAGTGAAGGATAGAAAGTGACGTCTACTGAATCAGAGGAAGCAACACAGTGCTCTGGAATAAACATCTTCTATTATTGACATAGGTACACAACCTGAATACAAGCTGAATTACAGGTTGTTGTGCTTTTTTTTTCCCTTTAAAAAAAAAAAAACACAACAGGTAACTCTCAGGTTGTTCATGTGAAAATACATTAAGTTAACAAACCATCGGAACAGCTCTTTATATAGCATGGTTTTTCCGCATTTTCAGAGTGCAGTGTTTCAGTGGTATGAAGTATAGTTGTCTCATGAAAATATATACAGTCCATTCCTCCCACTAATCCTTTGAAACTTCATTTGCTTATTTTTATTGAGTGTGCTTTATTGTAATTGAAAAAAGTAGAAGATTAAGAGTATTTTAGAGCTGAATAGTTCTCATAGCAACAAAATTAAGGTATTCCCTTTTAAGTCCTGCAAAGCTATAGATGCTGTCATTCTATTAGCATAATTATAGTTAATTGTTTTATGTATATAATAGAGGCATGTGGTGCTTTTAATCTTTTAAAATCAATATACACCATTAAGATATTGCTTAGTCCATTATCCCATAAAATGCACTCATTTCCTTCTCTGGAGCATGAGCAAAAAGAGAGCAGCAGTCCCCATTGCAGGGCGAATGTTATATTCTTCATTTATACAGTCCTATTTTATATTTGGAAACATGCAGTTTGACAATTTTTTTCCATTTGTTTGACACTTCAGGCTTCTGGAATCCACAGATGAAGCTTATGGCCTTGCTATCCATACTATATGCACACAGGTACTTTCTATGATCTTTAACCAAAGACAGATAACAGGAAAAAAAAAAAAATCAGGAAAGACCAGACAAAAGTATATAATTTTAATGCATTTGTTGCGATAGTGTAATGAAGTATTTCTTGTCCCTCAGAAGGGGAGGGAAATCATGCAATACTATTTCAGTATAGTCACAAGGAACACCTAAGCAGCTATAGACAATCACAAATTTCAAAAAAGAGTTTATGAAATATTCTTTTCAAAATGAACAGCCCAAGGGAAAAAAATTGTTTTTCTTTATTTTTTTTTTTTTTCTCTCAATGATCACCATTTACCTGCTACCTTCTATACATCTGTGTAAATATCAACTCACCAGGTATCAAAGGTGGTTTGTCTCTTTGAGTGGTTTGCCACCGTGCTGCTCTCTGCTGGCAATACAGGGGCTCTGTTTGACACATTGTTTTCTAGGTATGTACTCTCTGGACGTGGTGATGGAACTGAAGAGAGAAATAGCAAACAATGTATACTGAGCTCCATCAAACGTCACATCTTTCAGTTGTCTGCTTCCTCTTTACTCCTTTTATAGAAGATGAAAGTCACTGTCGTATTTTATGTACAACTAGGAGAAATCAGTGTACGTTTTCACAAGTGGGAAACACAATTTTTGTGACATTGTCAAGATAACATTATTATAGTATATTATCATCACCAGAACTTCTGTAACTCATTCTTGGATTTTAAGACCACCTCTATCTACAGGGAGCTGCAAGTGCAAATGAAATTTAAAAACAGGAAGTAGAAAAAAGGTTTGAAATACTGTCCTTAAATACGTTAATTACTGCAGTTTACAGTTTATCTTCACTTAGGCCTTTAAAAACATCTGGCCTGAAAAATTTTAATACGGACTTTAATGCAACTACGAAGAGGAAGATACTACTCAGTACAAATGAAAGGATCAAAATCAGATGCTATATTTTGATTAATAACAGACCTACTGTACTTAACTCAGAATTCCTACTGTAGATTTATGAAAATAGGTTACACATACCTACAAATAAATTTGTTACCAAAACTATGAGAACCATCAGAAACATTTGCACTGGATTAAAAACAAATCAGATGCTAGTTGCACCACTTCTGCAGCATCATGCAGCACTAGCCATCAAAACTGAATCTGAAGACAGAACAGGGGATTGAAACAAGTTTTTAAGTTATAATACACAAATAAATCCTAATAATCCTTGTATATTTGGAAGGCAATACTTAAGAATTGAGCAAATATGAATTTACTTTTTCCATATTAACAACTTCTGTCAACAGCTTTATTCTCAATGTATTATTTAAATATAGCACTGCTTTGCTAATGAAATAATTAAATCTGCAAACTAAAATATATTTGTTTCATAGATAAAATTGAAGAGAAAGGAACATCTACTTTGCAATACGGTACTGAATTCAATCCGAGACCTACAGTTTCCTTAGCACATGATTCACGGAAGGTCATTCTTCCTTGGTATCTCTTGTTTCATTATGCATAAAAAAAGGATAACCCATGTCCAATTTATAGGAATATTTCAAGGATTAACTGCAGCAATGCAGGGCTGAGGACTCTTGAGGATTCTCTGTTCCGTGTGCTCCAAAACCTTAGTTAACACAAAAGCGTTGCTCAAAACAGTGCAAGCTTTAATATGGCTCACAAGTTTTAATATTGCAACGGGATACTTACAAGGACTAGCAGATTTTAACATGCCTAAATCAGGTCTTCAGCCAACTGATGAACCCAAAGAGGATCAGCGGGAGATTGGTGACTCTACTTAAAGTTATTAGGTGACTCATAATCAAATTTTAGCTGATTGGAAGTTCTTAACGTTCAGCGGAGTCTCACAAGCCTCCTAACACTTGCAGGACAGTAATTAGCTTCCTATCATCCTCCTTTTCAAAAAGATTACCCAGGTTTAGCTGTGAGGCAGCTGCTCAGAAATCACCCTTTTTGTGTATCACATTAGAACAGTGTATGTTTGTGTGTGCATGTGTGTGTATTTTTTTTACAGTATCCGCTCCTGTTCTATTATTTATTCTTAACTAGAATTAGATAAATGTGCTTTACTTGTGGTAGGAAATTCTGATTTTTAGTAAATCTGAACAAAAGATATGAATATAGGATTCTCTTGGTTAAAAGCAAGACCGCACTTCCATGTACCTACCACATTATCTGAAATAGATCAGTAAGCATGCTAATTTGTTACAAGTACAACAGTGTTTAGATATAACGTTAATAAGAATTTAAGACAGGATTGATGCTTAAAAACACTGATAAATCGTTTACTTTGGTGATTTTCATTTATCTTTGTTAGCCTCCTGATAAAATTATCTTGTATTTTACAAAGTACAGCACCAGACATACTTTTCAATCACAGTGAGCTAGCACTTGCAAATAAATAATATAATGAAACTAAAACTGTTGCTATATATTAGCTAGCAGGTCAACCCAGTCACTGAACTGGGGCAACAATTCTCTTTCCTATAAACTTTTTTACTTGTTCATGTTAAGTTCATTATACCCATTTCTATTATTTCAGTTACATTCTATGTTAAAAATCTTGCTTAATTTTGAAAGATCCATCATAAAATTACCTCTGTAAAAGCTGCCGACTCTTCGTGGAACAGGGTCATTATAGATAATTCTGTTTTCTTTAGTAGATGCTCCATCTTCTGTATGTGGATCATGATATGTCCCACCCTAAACAAAAGAACAGTTGACTATTTAAAATTAAGGAATATAAACTGATTTGCACTGTTTTTAACCAACGTACATAAGCAAGAAATCCCAAACTCAACTACACACAGTTTTCCTGTCATGTAATTAATAACTGCCATTACCAAGTCACAAACTATTTAATTAATAATTGTTTTTGCTTTTTTTTTTCCAAAAAGAAAAAAATGGCATTAATAAAATTTTCCCCTTAGTTGTAATTTTAAAGACTTTAGCATGATTCAGACCTCAGATTTTTGCCGTGAATGATATGCAGTTGTAACATCTCTGGAGGAATCTTTTCCTGGAGGTCTTGTTGAATTCATTTCTGATGGGATCTGGTCACTCTGCTTATAGCAAATTTTAAAAAGTAAAAGGGAAACGCATATAATCTGTAATAAATGCAACACCATAGCACTATCTCTTATCAGCTGTTATACAGTAGCACCTAGAGGTACTAACAGTCAAAAAGTCTACTGTATAAATAATAAGAGGTAGTCTCTGAACTTAAAAATTTGTAAGCTAAACAGTTAAGTCAGATGGGATAGAAAAAAGATACAATTATCTCTACTTTACTGAATAAAGTACTTTCTAGAAAGTACTTTAAGCAAAACTGAAAAACTTAAGCATGTCTTTAGAAACAGATATGGCCATAATTTGCTGCCAAATATGACTTAACCCCATTCTTAAATGAACCAGATGTTACAATTATTTCTGCAATAAGGACCAGATAAAATTAAGTGAGCTCTCCAAGACCATACAGGAAATTATACTGAAGCCCATATGTAAATCTAGAATGTCCAAAATGGACAAAAGGTTAAAAAACAAAAGGATTCTGATTTCAATTCATTGTATGAGTGATTTGCAAAATCTATTTTGCCTTTTATTAATTATGACCTGGCCTCACTGGCACAGATAAAAAAAACCCTTGAAACTGTACCATGATGAGAAATGTAGCTAAAAACACTGCTTTAAATTGCAGTTTAGTTCTTTTAAAATTTACAAGAGGCTGAAGCATTTGATTAAATTACTACTTGTTTTACATACCTCTTATTTGTCAGCAGTTAAGCTTACAAATAAGAGATAGTGATAGCAACTTGTACTTGATTTTCTTCTGCTTGCTCCCTTCTGTGTATATTAACATAAAAACCAAAAAGAACCCCTAAAAAAAGCATTTTATTGAGACGTGGAAAGCCCAAAAGCTAACACCGAACATTTAAAAAAAATCTTTTTCAAAGGTTTAAAGCCAGGAAAACAAAGAATGTTTTCTTTAAACTTCACAAAATTTGAGGGGAGAGGGCGAAAATCGGCAGAGAGAAGTGGGAGAAGGGAGAGGGATAGAAAGGGAGAGAAGAGAAGAGAGGAAGGGAAGGATGGAGGGATAGAAACCAGTAGAACTGAAGGGAAAAAATTAATAGGAATATAATAAAGAAACATGGAGAACAATTCTGTTATTCTTGAACTTGTGAGTTCAGTAATGTTGAAGGAAGTGAAATCGTGTTACTTCTGATATAGAACATGGCAAAAAACCAAATGGGATAGGAGAAAACGTAAGAATTATTTCTTTGTGAAAATGCCTTTACAAGGCTTAATAAGACTGTTGATTTAATTCTAATTTGTTTCTGAAACTTATGAAAACAAAGAAAAAATAGCTGAAGAGCCTTGCGAATTCAAAGCCTTGCCATGCATGTCAGAACAGTATTTTTCCTCTCAGATTGCAGTTGAAATATGTATTTAAAAGTAAATTTAAAATGATTTAAAATTAAATCATTTAACTGAAGACTTAAGTTTAAAGACGTTGACGTAAGAGTTTAAGACACATACTTTACAAATAATTAGAAGTAACTCATTCAAACAGACATTCCAAAGCAAACCAAAATGAACAAAATCATGAGCAATGGGCAGTAGATCAAATTTTCTAATTAAAAAAGAAGTGTGTCAACCAACTGTCAAAAGAAAAGAATGATTTGATAAGAACACTCTGTCTCTACATAATATGAAATAGAATTAAAATTATTTATTAAATTAACATTTGCTACATATTGCAGAAAAAGTGCCTAATACACTGAAAAGCACAAGGTAGTGTGAGCTTTTATTATCCAAACTCAAATGCTGGTGTTACTGCCCTTGTACAGTAACATTTTCAAGAATAAATTACATCTAGCTTAACCGAAATGAGAGAGAGAGAAAACTACCACACAAAAAAAGAAATAAAACCTGTTTTTTGAATTGAGCTGCTGTAATGTCTTTTGCATGCTTATTCTCTTTTAAATTAGACGGCATTTCTCCTATTTTGATGAGATTTTTCTCCCTACAATGACGATAAATAAGCCTGAATGTAGGCGATATAGTAAGTACAAAAATGATGCATTAATGTGCTTAAAATGAGCCACCAAAAAACTGCAAACTTTTTATGGTATCTGTAGACTGCTATCAAGTCAGCTACAAATATTCCCTAGGTTTCAAATATTTCTTATTTCTAAGTAAACACAGGTCTTTTAGTCTCTCATTATAAAACATTATTTAGACCTTAAGTAATTTTTACAGCTCTTTTCTGACTTCCTTCAATTTGTCAACAAACCTGAACAAAATGTTCTCTCCTTAGAAGTCACTCTACCACAGACACTTGTATAAAAATGCTCATTTTATGTACTTCTCTTTGTACCACTTTGCTGCAATCTGCATCAATGCTATGCAATTTAAAGTCCTGGAGACTAATGCAATCCCCTTGAGTAAAATATCAAATAATTCAGAAGTGCTGTATGAGGAAGGTAAATCAACTTAAAACTGGTCCTTGCTCTAGACTCATGAAATAATGGTCACATTAAAATGTAACAAGATACCTAGCGACAGTAATCACTGCATCACTGTTAGAGAGTCAGTTAATCAGTGGTTTATCCGCTATAAAATCTCTAGCCTACCTCCGTTATTTATCATACTAACCGAGAAATACTACAGTGTTTTTGAAATTCCCCTAGTAAATTATGGTATTTCAGCCATAATCTCCTTGTATAAGAGAATAAAAAACTCACTTCAAAAATATTTAAAATTAGCATTCACAGCAAAAAGACACACAAGAAAAAAACAAACAAACAAAAAAAACCAAATAAGAGAAGGTTAATTAAGGAAAACAATCTAATAAAAGTGACATCAGAGAGCATATCCAATGAATAGCAACTCCTGACTACATTTTAATGTCACAGACATATTTGTCTGTTCTCACATTTTAGTACTTTAAAAGAACGGTGTTCACTGTTCAGGATTTTTTTCAAGGCTCTTCCTTTGAGCTCTGAACATTGAGTCTGTCTGAAAAACCTAATATTCCTTTCCTTAACACAAAAAAACAAGCAACTGTGCAA